TACAGATAGATAGATAGATAGATAGATAGATAGATAGATAGAAATACCGAAAGATGGATAGACAGAACAGATAGATAGATAGAAATACCGAAAGATGGATAGACAGAACAGACAGATAGATAGATAGACAGACAGATAGATAAGAGACAGACAGATGGATAGATAGAAATACAGAAAGATGGATAGACAGAACAGATAGATAGATAGATAGATAGATAGATAGAAATACCGAAAGATAGATAGAAATACTGAAAGATGGATAGACAGAACACAGAGAGATAGATAGATAGATAGATAGAAATACCGAAAGATGGATAGACAGAACACAGAGAGATAGATAGATAGATAGATAGAAATACCGAAAGATGGATAGACAGAACAGACAGATAGATAGATAGAAATACCGAAAGATGGATAGACAGAACACAGATAGATAGATAGATAGATAGATAGATAGAAATACTGAAAGATCGATAGACAGAACAGACCGATAGATAGATAGATATACCGAAAGATGGATAGACAGAACAGATAGATAGAAATACCGATAGACACAACAATAGAACGATAGATAGAATGATAGAACGATAGATAGATTCTATCTAGATAGACTGACAGAAAAGTAAATTGTGGTGTTTTGACACCCAGCTGGATATGTATTTATTTTTACAATGTACAACATATAAAAACATAGCAAAAGGTCACAGTGTATAAAGGCAGTGATCATGTGTTGGAAAACCATTTTCTTTTTTTTCTTGCATAGAGAACCGTCTGCATTCAGATAATGCAGCATCCATGCAACATCAGCGTAAAAAAGCATCATCAGCAAGTGTCCAGCTCACGATACACACTATACACACGACCGCGGCCGCTTCCGCTCTAATGCCATATTCAACATCCCACCAGACTCTGCGTCTGCATTGAAGTTCATATGGGCTCAATGGAAAGAATTAGCTTAAAATATTTCATAAAACATATTTTCATTAAACATGTACTGTACACAATCCCAGACAGAAAACAAAACAAAACTGTAATAGCAAGAAATAAGTGTAAATCTGAGCATTCGTAGCGTACTGAAGACAACAGTTGCTGCTCTCACTGTCATATGTTCACTGTGGAGTTATAGCAAGGAAAAATATACCTGATTCCATCCAAAAAAAGAAAAAGAAAAATCATCATTTGTGTATAAATATATAATGCCAGCTACAAATATACACATACTTACAAACGTACATCCCTTTAGATTCAATAACACTCGCACAGAGCTGTTTCAGACTGCCATGTTTCAGTAGCAATTCGTTTGAAATGATTGACCAAAATGTTTATATTTTATTTACTCATCCTCATGCCATTTCATCATCTCCACTGAACAGAGAAAAAGACGTTTGACAGAATGTGCAAAATATAAAAAAGTTTGAATATGTGAATTTGAATTTTTAAGCAGGTAACTTAAATTTCAGTTTCTCATTTAAAACTACTGCATGTTTCAGACTTGGAATATGGTGCATAAGCCATAGGGATGACTTTTTTGATACTTTTATAGCACGGTTTTGTATATTTGTGAGCTTGACATGCCCTGAATGCTTCATTGTATGGGAAGGAGCAGCATGAACATCCTTCAAAACATCTTCCACTGAAGGCAAAGCAAAACCATTGTTTGTTTTTTGCCGCATCACCGGTCATCCTGATTCCATGGAGCTCATGTCCTTGTAGTTCTTGGGGTTCTGGAGCAGAAAAAGACGTAAACCAGGAACAAATTAGTGAAACAGATGCTCAGGCTTACTGTGAGACGTCACAGCTGTCTGGAAGCCTTCATGCTTTACGACTCAAAGTGAGAACAACACAAAGACGCCAGCACATAAAGTAGTACATCACAATACAGTTTTAAAATTGATCCCAGAATTCCTCTTGCTCCTTTGCATTGTAAGAAGTGTGCATGCTTTGTGAGTGTCAGTCTGTAGTTATTACGACGCATGTGATCAGCTGAACCCGTGACTTCCAGTTCTACAATGCTACAAGAAAACTACATCTTATCCGAACATCACTCCTTTGAATTTTCCTGCACCATTTGAGATGCAGATTATGCACTCAGCCTTCCTGTGGATCCATGCATTTTCCAATGCATCTGCACGGATGGATGAGGGTGTGTAACTGTGGTCACACTGCCCTAAGAAAGCATGAGATGTGTGTCCGTGCATCAGCTGTGCATGTAGCTGCAAGGTGAATCCATGGAAGGGAAGTCGTATTTGCCCAAAGGAGACGGGTAATATGTGGTGGCGTAGACGTTGGTCTGCGGTAACGCTGATGGGAAGAAGTTGCAGCTTTCATCCGGTGGAAGCAGGTTATTCTTATTCAGAGTCTGCGGGGAACAGAGAGAAAGCACATAAAGTGAGCACACGAGATGTCGAAAGTCTCTTCAATATTTCAAAGGCCACAGCATGTTTTGCATCATGCTGCAGCGGCCCTGTGATGTCAACGCTCTGAGGGAAAAGAGGAAACCGGAAAATGAGGAATGATAGAAAAGACGGATTCCTTTGAGACAGATTAGAGAAAGGTGCGATTCTCAACTGTTTCAGATTTCACATCAGATGTCAAGTGAACCCAACTTAGTGAACAAAAGTGAATAATAAAAATAATACACTATAATATAAAAATATGATAATAATTGTATTATATGATAATTATTCTCAACAGTGACAAGACCAGAATTATTTATTAAACAAATGTGAACAAATACTACTAATACTACTACTAATGCTGCGTTTGAATTTTCATGCCACATTATTTGAAATTAGTGCGGGCCAAACCTTTTACTCTCACAGGCCAGATATGGCCCGCCTATGGAGGAACCCTGGTCTAAGCCAAACAAAATGCACAATTAATAATGACTATTCTGGTTTCTAGAATTATAGGAATCATTTTCTCCTTCCCTTTAAAAAAGTTAAATCCTATTTATTTCTCTGTAATAACAATACATGATTATATGATTAAGCGGATTTTATTATCTGCACTAATCTGTATTGCGGTTGCAACCCACCAGTTAAGGGTAATACAGAGAGAACACTGTGGCATGATGGGATACCTTGAACTCCATGGGTGTGTATAAGTCGTTCTTGGGCGCACAGCTGTTCTCTTTATAGTGAAGGTGGTTGGGGGTGCTGGGATGGATAACTGCGGATTCTTGAGGGGGTTTACGGAGTCTCTGACAGTACACATACACCAGGACGGACAACAAAACGGCTCCCAGAAAACAGCACGCTCCAGTCAGCACCAAATGGAACAGAGAAAACCCTGCAGGAGACCAAAAGAGAAAGAAATGTTACACTAGGGGCATTAGACACATCAAAACCTGAATGCTGGTGGATGATGTAAGATTTACCTCCACAGTTTATGCTCCTCTTCTGTCCCTTTGACAGCACTAGAATTAAGAAAATGAAACAATACTGTAGTCTGAGATGTCAGAAAGAAACAAGTAAAAAGAGGGAAAGGAACTAACCTGCACTCTCATTGGGTCCACACTGTCTCTGATCTGTGGAGTTTCCTTGGCAAGAGGCGGAGCTTATTTCACATGTACGAATCCGGAGCTGCAGCCCCTCCTCGTTACACTTCGCCCACTCTGACCATGCCCCCCACCCACCTGACACAGGTGAGCAAGATAAACAGAACAGTTCACAATTGTGTTTACAATCTTTAGTCATCATGAACAGTCATGCAGAGTATTTAAAGGGGAAGTGGGGTATTTCTCCCAAACCAGTGTGTTTATCTCCCAAACAAAATTACTTGTAAAAAATTATTCTTTGACTGGTACAGTCTAACTGATTCCCAATCAAATTATTCTTATGAACCAGTTCTTTTAAGTGAATCACACATATACAGTGCAACTAGTTCAGACCAACCAATTACGACTGAATGAGCTGGTTATTCTTAGTGAATCAAACAATTACAGTACTGTTAGAAGAGTTAGGGTTAAACTTGATTTCTGAATGAATTACCCTTATGAACCGGTGAATCAAACACAGAGTCTAACTGGTACGGTCAACCAATTCCCAAAAGAATGACTCTTATGAACCAGTTATATTTAATGAATCAAACACATACAGAACAACAGGTGAAGTTCAACCAATTCAAGAACCAATGACTCTTATGAACCAGTTCTTTTTAGTGAATCAGTCACATACAGAACAACTGGTACAGTTCAATCGATTCGTAAATCGAATTACTCTTATGAGCTGGTTCTTTTTATTGAATCAAACACAGATTATTACTTACCGTATTAAAGGGATAGTTCATCCAAAAATGAAAATTTGATGTTTATCTGCTTACCCCCAGGGCATCCAAGATGTAGGTGACTTTGTTTCTTCAGTAGAATTGATTGCTCTTCGGCTGGATATCAACACACCCATTAACGTAAACTACGCCAGAGCGCGTACACACCTCACGCACCGGATGCCGTGCGCGCGCTCAAAGACAGTTGGATATAGTGGTGTATTAGAGGTAAAATATGATATAAATACTGTTCGGTTTCTGGCACAAACCGATCGTTTCGTGTCTTAGGACATCAATGTGTCGTCACGTGCCGCAGGGTTTAATTTGGATTTGTCTGTGCATGTTTTTTTTACTCTCATAGATTTTGATACCATTGCCATGCATTATACGACTGATAGACTGCAACGGTTGGACTTAAAAATCATAATTTGTGTTCTACTGAAGAAACAAAGTCACCTACATCTTGGATGCCCTGGGGGTAAGCAGATAAACATCACATTTTCATTTTTGGATGAACTATCCCTTTAAGACCAGTGAATAATCAGTTTAGTTACTATTAAATATACAAAAAGACTTTTGACAGTAGTAAAAATATAAACGTAAATAAACCAATGAAATATGCTACATTTGTTTTGTTGTTAAGTATTGTTGTTTAACTCTTTCCCCGCCATTGACGAGTTATCTCGTTTTTTAGAAGACAACGCTTCCCCGCCAAAGATGAGTTTTTACGGATTTTCGTGTTTTCCCTGTTATACACTCGGGGGCGCTATTACACATCTTCTGAATGAGTACAAAACCTCCCGAACAAAAACACATGTGTACAGGACGGAGAAACGAGCGATCTCTTATGTAAAGAGATGCATATGCAAAATAATGCGATCATCAGCAATGGCAGCATATAAATGAAAACTGCATAATGTTACGGAGTAAAATGTTGATCCAGGAAGTGGTATATGTCTGTGCAAGCTTTGGAGGTGTTGATAGAAGCGATTTACTGGATTTATGCTTTGATAATAAAAATGTGATTTTCTCACCTTTTTGCTCAAAATTATGCATTTTTATGAAACCTACCTACATTCAAGTGTTGATAAAAAAAAGAATGCTTTAAGCTAGAATAAAACATACAGCAAAATATTCTGGAAGCCATCAAATTTTAGTGAAAATCATCAAAATCGCTGGCAGTGGCTGGCAACTTTTTTCAAAAATGCTGGCGGGGAAAGAGTTAATATATGGATATAGTTAAGGTAAATTACTGGATTTTACAGGAAACGTAAAGACGAAGACTGTGGAAAGTGTTTAAGCACATTTTGTAAGAACTGTTTTAAATGTATTTATCATTAAAACATTATTTTGTTTCCAAATATGTATTCCTTAAAAAACAATATTCTCTTAATGCTGCTATTATGCGATTTTCTCACCTTCACACTCGTGTGTGTTACAGAGCGCTTCCTCCGTGTGCAGGCCGATGCAGATGTCTCCAGAATGAGCAGGAGAAGGGTTAGAGCAGGTACGGGAGCGCTGGTAGTGACCGCCACCACAGGAAGTAGAACACTGAGACCAGGAAGACCAGCATGACCACGCCCCCTTCACTGAAAAACAACACTATTATTACACTACTCCATTAACGGGGCACGAGTGACTTATTTAAGATGATACAAGGCTCTCTCAGACCTGGGCACGGCTGAGTGTTGCAGTCCTGATACTCGACCGGCGCTCCGCTGCAGGCGAACAGCGTGCTCTTGCCATCCGGTGTGGCGCACGAGCGCTTGCGTGTGCGGAAGCCTTTGGAGCACTCTTTGGAACACGCAGACCACGTCTCCCATGACGACCAGGTGGCTCCTTGTACTCGTGTCACAGGTCGACCCATTCTCAACAAGTCCTCAACTAGACCTATACAAATGTAAAAGGGTGCATATAGTAGGGCTGCACAGTTAATCTGAATCGTAATATTTCGTAGTGCAATTATCAAGGCTGCGATTTAGTTAAATATATGCGCGGTGAGTTTTGAAGTGAACAACGGAACTGTGTTTATTTATACATGAGCAGCTCATGATACAGTGATTTCAGCATCTCAGAGTGGCTTGGTTTACATGTAAGTGTTGCTCCTAACAAACTCCATCCCAGTTTGGGTCACTTATCTAACGTGCATTTAGGAATGCGCTACCATCTGCCCATACAAATAATGAGAAGTGCTTAGGAGCTACTGTGAACAAAAGCGAAGCTTTACGAGCTCCCTGCAATTTTCGTCAAAATAAACGTTTGATGGTTTAACACTTGAAAATTAAAAAATTAAACCAGCCATAAAGATTGGTATTGTAAATTCTACAGTTGTACTGTAAACTACAATTATTATTTTTCTTAAATACACATTTTTTTATTTTACAGTGAAATATTACAACAGTAATATTTCCTATTTTGTTTAATATTTTATTATATTTTAACAACAACAACAATAATAATATAATTAAATAAAAATATAAATATTAATGTACTACTACTACTAATAATTCTTGTTTTGTTTTATATTTGTAGCATTTTTAATTATAATTATTATTTGTAGTAAAATAATAATAATAATTATTATTATTATGTATTAAATTCTTATTTTGTTTGATATTTTATTTGTTAATAATAATAATAATAATAATTACTAAATAAAAGTAAACAAAAAGATCATTATTATCATTATCATTATTATTATTTTATTTTTTAATATATTGATATATAATTACAACATTTCAGGCCAAATTGTACCTACAAACAAGCATAGCAAACATAGAGCTCTTTTTTTAAAATCACATTTTAATCACAATTTTTACCAGAAAAACAGCAATTAGATTGTTCCTCCAAATGGTGCCGCCCTATCTAACAGGATGTGTGCATATTTGAGTATGTGCCTCTGAGGCTGTGTGTGTGTACCGTCAGTTTCGCAGGCAGCAGCTCCATCACTGGTGGGACAGAGGCGAGTCTCTATCTTGCGTTTGCCAAGCTGAAGGTCGTGAGGGTCAGCGAGGAGAGCCCTGCAGGTGTACCTGACCCTCTGCTCCTGTCTCGCCCCCATCTGAGTCACATTAACAGGGTACCAGGGTGTCCACGGGGTGGTCCGCCTCACTTCGGCACATGCGTCCAAATTACACACCTTATACTCCTGGATACAGTAACACGCGTAGTTTTTGCATCTTTTTCTAATATTAGATTTTTTTTATTTTTTTTTATGACCAGTTGAAGACCCTACCAGAGGGCAACCAGGACACGTGTTTCCGTTCTCGCAAGTCCGAATGCGGGATTGGATTCCACCACCGCAGGGAACACTACATTTGGACCAAGCGCTCCAGGAGACCCAGGACACCGGAACAGGACATGGATTCTTTTCATTACACAATCTGAATCACACACAAATGAAACCGAATCATCTTCCAGTCAACTCAGATAAACACACCCTTATGATTCAGTTCAGTTTAGTTAAACAATCAAACAAATGACTCTTAGTGAAACAAAACCATAACGCATAGCTAGTGTAGTCCAACTGATTCCTGAAGACTTGACACTTAAGATTCAGTTTTTTGTAGTGAATTAATATCACCTGAGTCCCGAACCAATTAATCCAAAGAGGCCTTTTTATGAATTGAATCAGAACTATAAAGCACAGCCTGTAGTCCATCTTTCCTCTCGTCTCACCTCTCCTCTCGTGCCTGACCCACACATACGCGTCCTCCGTGTCGGGGTGCTGGGTTGTTGCAGGATCGCTGACGGACCTCAAACCCAATGCCACAGCTGGTGCTGCACTCGGCCCAGGACGACCAGGGAGTCCAGCCTCCGTTCCTGAACAAACAGAAGCAGGCGTTAGCATGGATACCATACAATAACAGTCTGGTAGGCTATCAGTAGTACATTAAAGAGGCCATATTTGTCACTTTTTGTAATTGTATAATGTTTGTCAATGTTTCTTGGACTAAAAACACAGTAGTAACTTGTTTCATGACTATTTCCCACTTTCTCTCTGTCCTTTTAAATAAAAGCGACTTCTATAAGACGTCTATATGTAAATGACCTTACTTATGATTGTCTAGCCTCTGTGTACCAGTGATAGTTTACCAATGGTACTGCAGCAGCTAAATACTGTTTAGGTGTTAATATGTAAATGTGGGCGGTCATGTGATAATGTGATCGGGGCTGTGCTGTCATGATGACATCAGAATGATCCGTTCAGCTAACTAGATTCTTGAGAAGAAATTGTAAGTGACGCTTGCCTTCTTGTTTGTTTTAAAAATGTATCTTTGACCATACTTTTCAATGTGTTTTCTTCTATACTATTATAGTATTTATTAAAAATTTGAATGATCTTTTATTTTTATATTTACAGTTTAATTTTGTTTGCATTTCAGTCATTTTGTTGTGCTTTTGACATTTTATTTTGTTTTATTTATCTTTAGTATTTCTATTATTGTTATATTTACAATTTAATTTGTTTACGCTTCAGTCATTTTAAGTGTTTTCTTTATTTATTTACTCTGTGTTTAATGCACAGATTGAATTCACTTTTATTTCAAAACATATTTCTTATTTTATTTTATTAGTAATTTTAGTACTTCAGTACTACTGTTATTATAGTATCATTGAGATACAATTAAAGTTTTTATTAATATTTTGAACCAGTTTTCATTAAATGTTTTTGTCGTTTTAGTATTTTTATATATGCCTGTCTAGTTTTATTGATTTTTATTTCAGTTTTAGTTTTAGTTATTTTAGTATATTAAGTTAAACTAAATAAAAATGAGAAATGCTGCCTTGGCAACTAGCTGAAATAAAAAAAAGTTTTATATTTTATTTCAGTTTACATTTATTTTAATTAACAATTTTCTCTCTCTCTATATATATATATATATATAGTTTCAGTTTTAGTTAACTATAATAACACTGACTTCAATTTAAACTTCTTTTATTTAGTTGCCAAGGCAAAATTTCAGATTTTCATCAAAAAAAAATTTTTTACAGCTTTTTTCCAATTACAAATTTTTTTTTCATAGATTTAGTTTACGTTAACAATAACCCCACTGATACTTACTTTACTCTTCTGTGGAACCGTAATTGTCCATACAATGGAAGTCAATGGGGTCTAAAACCCCACTGACTTTAAAGGGGTCATGAACAGAGAAACCAAAATCCCCTTGATCTTTTGACATTGTACACAAGAGGTCACTGTACTATAAAAGCATCCTGTAAGTTTCAGAACTCAAAACTTTGTCGTTAGTCTTAAACCAGCTTATACTGATGGCAGTCTGCCAAAACGACAGCTTTTGTAATGTTCCTATATATGATGTAATAGGTAGATAAGCACCACCTCCGCAGAAGACGATCGACATCACTGTCTGTTTAGCCCCGCCCACTGATTCACGCATAGTAGTTTACCAGAGAGTCGAACACGCAGGTCTATGCAGAAACCAAACGATAAAGATGTCTCTGAAAACAACAGGACGCTCTGCAGTGCCAATTTGTGGAAAATAACAGTCTTTGCATTGCCTTCCTTCTGATCCCAACGTTAGGAAAGAGTGGATGAACTTTATTTTTAATGAAGTTCCAGACCGCATCAGTAAGAGCTCGTTCCTTTCTTCACTTCATTTTACCGCGGATTAGTTTACAAGCAAGGCACAACTCGATGCAGGATTTTCAGAAAGATTGAAACTAAAAGACGATGCTGTGCGACTATATTGGATCCGACAGTAATGTAAATAGCCTATTACTTCTAAATTATGCTTTTTGATGTAAAAATCTTAACTTTATAAGTGGACCGTACAACATAAAAAACAAAGGCAGGTCATGACCCCTTTAAACCTGTCATACAAGTTTGAAAGGATATGAAGGATAGGGCAGGGACGTGAGCGAACTGGGAGCTTTGCACTGTTGCAATGTTTGCAAAGTTAGAGTATTTACTTCGAAAAAGTAAGAAAATCCTATTTTCCAAATTAATAACAAGGACAGCCCCTCTGGAGTCACCTGGAGTCAAGCGACTCCTTCTAAGCCCCTGATAATGACTGCACAGGATTGTGATCACAACTTTAGAGCCTGACAGGTAACATCAGTTTTATTAAACTTAACAGTAGCTTTCTGACAAAGATGTATTAGCAGCTCATTACTCATCTATTATAGATCTGCCACAGCTGCTCTTCTGCTGTTATACTGAAACATTGCGTCCTGTTAGTTTCTCGCACCCAGACCCGGTGATGTGTGTGTTTAAACAAGCTCTCTAGGTGAAGATATAATTGGAACATTCATTCATTGACTGAAAGTGACTGCAGGATAATGGGACATGCAAAGAAGGAGCTGCTCCGCCAGAAACGCTGCGTCAGCCGCTTGCAGCTAATGAATAAAGCCACGTCTGTATCAGAGTTCAGGATTGATGGAGTCGAGGCCTCACTCTCTGCAGCTGTTAGCATTGGGTGGTGCCTTTCTCTCACGGAAAAGCTGAATCAGACATGCTTTGTGCTTTGACACTTTGATTGGCTGTGATTGAAGACTTCAGGCTGATCTCTCTGGCTCTCATATATCAGTCTAGCCGCACTGTTTACACCTGCCACTTCAATATGGGGAGTCCCAGATTATAAAGGCCTAGTTCATCCAAAAACAAAATCATTTACTCAGTCTCTTACTCCTTCAAAACCCATATGAGTTTTCATTCCCTGTGTTTTGACAGTGAATAATGGGATGCTGTCAAACTTGAAAAATTAGACGCACCATTATATCCATATGACGTGTGCAACTGTATACTTCAAGTTTTCCATGACAGTGTTTTGTGTGAAGAACAACTTTCAAATGTTAAAAATAAGTTTTTTTTTTTTTTGAGAAATTTATACTTTTATTCATTAGTGATGCATTAAACTGATCAAAAGTGACAGTAAAGACATCTATAATGTTACAAAAGATTTCTACTTCATAAAATAGCTGTTCTTTAGAACTTTATATTTAGAAAAGAATCCTGAAAAAAATAATTGTGGAAATATTATGTTTTCATGCAAACCGCTAAATAGTAAGATGATAATATTGATAATATAGCTTAAAAATCAATAACTGATCATAAATGTTTCTTAAGCAGCAAGGATTTCTGAAGGATCATGTGACACTGAAGACTGGAGTAATGATGCTGAAAATTCAACTTTGATCACTGGAATAAATTACATTTTACAATATATCCAAATAGAAAATGGCTACATTAAATGGTAATAATATTTCACAATATTACTAGTTTTACTGTATTTTTAATCAAATAAATGCAGCCTTGGTGATCATAAGATACTTCTTCCAAAGAACATTTTAAAAATCAAACCAACCCCACAGTTCTGAACAACACTTTATGTGTTCACATATATACAAATATGGCTCGGCCAGATAAGTCATGCCAGGTTTCTTATCAATGAAGCAAAATGACTTGGTTCTCATGTATGACCAAGCTGACTCACTATAACAAATTCCTTGTATGTGCAAACATACTTGGCAATAAAGCTCTTTCTGATTCTGATTCTGATGTATCTAGTAACCAATCAATTTTACATGGAGGGTGCGGATGGGATTTGAGAGCTACATCAGAAGAGAAAATTGTCAGTGACGTTAATAACAGCTTGTTCCTCACACAAAGCTATCATGTGACTGGAATATCGCACACAACTCAAATGAACTACTTTTTAAGGGTCATATTTGTCATATTTGAACTTTAACAAGCATAAGGGTTAGTAGAGTAGGTGTACCTGGAGCAGTTGGCCACCTGGATGTTGGCCCCGACACACTTCATCCCTCCACACTGGGGTCGGGGGTTATCACAGGCCCGAGTGCGACACTGACATGTGCTGGTGCCATCATCTCCGTCGTCATGGTTACAAGCCTGCCATGATGACCACAGGCCAAATCCACCTTCCTGGGTGAGGTTGCGCTCCTATAAATGTAAATGCAAACAAGGCATGTTGTAAGTATGCATTTAGTGTTTGCATAGAAATTCACTGAACTTCATTCAGAATAAACCTCTTAGTGTTCAGATTCTAACTTTCTTTTATAGCTAACTTCAGTAGGTAATATCTCATTATTAACTAGTTGCTTATTAGCATGCATAGAACTAGCATATTGGCTGTTTATTATTCCTTATACAGCACATATTAATGCCTTGTTCTGCATGACCATATTTTAGATCCCTTAATCCAATACCTAAACTTAACAACTAGCTTACTTACTATTAATAAACAGCAAGTTAGGAGTTTATTGAGGCAAAATCAACAGTTAATAGTAAGCCAATAGTGAGAACTGGTCCTTAAAATAAAGTGTGTCCTTTCAGTCTTTTCTTTGCTACTTGTTTTGGTTGTTATAAACCCAATGGTTTTTCGGAAATGTAAAGTTGTAACCACCGCATGAGTTTAGGGCAGGACTATCTGCTTAGCTGTCCAATAAAAGATAAGGGAAATGGTAACACTTTAGTATAGGGACCAATTCTTAATATTAACTAATTGCTTATTAGCATGCCTATTAACAACATATTGGCTGTTTATTAGTGCTTGTAAAGCACATATTCTGCATGACCATATTCTACATCCCAATACCTAAACTTAACAACTACCTTACTAATTATGAATAAGCAGCAAATTAGGAGTTTTTTTAGGCGAAAATCATAGTTAATGGTTTGTTAATAGCAAGAATTGGACCTTAAAATAAAGTGTGACCCATTTCACCTTTACAATTAAAAGATCTAAATAGTATGCATGCCTTAATTGAAGATTAAATCTAGTAATCAAAAGTCACAATTTGAGAGTTGAACCTGCATTTTCTGCATTCATCAAAGTTCCCACATAATCTCATTTTTCAAAGCAATTTAACCAACAGCAGTGATGTACAGAGCATGTACACATGTGTCAGTCTGCAGTAGAAGGTGGTTCATGTAATGCACAGGATAAAAACTGTCTTAAATTCATCTCCATGCATGGGTAATCTTCAGGGAGCAGGTGTGCGGCATGCCCATTGAAGTGAATACCAACATCTACTGTGAGTCTGGATTAGTAACAACTGACCAGAACTCAGTGCCATTCATACAGAATTTCGAGACCGGCATCAACTTTCACTGTACTTCAACGATATAATCAAAAAAGGTCAACTGAGGGCTTTTCCCTGATGCATGACAAAAATTGTTATTGTAATGCTTATCAGTTTGCCCTTCTATGAATTCATATAATAACAGTCCCCTTCAGCTTCCTCTGATGCCCCTGCGGCTCAGATACTCAACTTCAGCCTACCAATGAGGAGGAAGCTCAAGAAATCATCAGTTCTGCTGTAGTTTGTAGTTAACTTGGTACTTCATTTTTTTTATTTGTCGTACGTTTTCCATAGTTTTCCAAGTATTTTGTAGTCGCATAACATGATGTTTACTATTATTGATCCAATATGCAGCCTTTAAAACTGTCAACAGACAGCTGGATGTTTTTTTTTTTATTATTTATGTAGCAGCAGTAATAAATTGCATTCCAAATGAGACACAAAAAACGTTAAATAAATAGTCATGTAAATAATATTCAGGAACTGTATGTAAAATGAATCAGGCCAATAAATAAGGATGCAAAAGTTTGTATTAATTAACACAACAAACAATATTTTACAGAAATTATCTTGGTTAATATTTATGTTTGCATTATATATAAATAAATGTTCCATTATGAAATAAAAATTAACAATAGTACATTTATAAATGTATATTTATAAAGATTAAATTTTTAACTCATGATACTAAATACATTAACAATAATAATAATATAAATACTAATATTAATGTATAGAACCTTACTGTAAAATGCTACCATAACTAAATATAATACAGTAACAGCTCTTACTGGTTATACGTAAAAGTGCAGTGGACGAATGATTTATTGAGACAGTAGCAGCACAGCACCCACATTCGCATAATGTTCTTTCTCTTAAAATGTAAATGTCAACATCATTATATAATGCTAAAAGAAAGTATTTCGTGCAAAACACAAAGTCCAATGCAATCCAATCAGTCTGCTATTTATCCCATGTTATTTCTGACTAGAATCATATTTTGTTTATATGCTTAATGTTGCAAATCACAAATATTCAGTAGTGCATTCTGTGCATGTTGTAACTTAGTGTTGATTTACGTCATAACTATGGAACCAATACATTCTGCAAAAGTTTGAGAAAAGCACTCTTAAGGCCCGTTCACACCAAGGACGATAACTATAAAGATAACGATAAAGATATAGTTCTAAAAAACGTTCTCAATATTAAAGAATAGCAGAGTCCACACCACAACTATAACGATAAAGACAAAGAGAAACGATATCGTTGGAATCACTTTCAAAACGATTTTTCTCCAGCTGATGAACGATAAAAAATTGACAGCCAATCAGAATCCATCCTGCTGTAACGAGCTCAAGAATTTTAAGAGGCAGACGCGCGTGTGCTTAGAATAAACAGACGATATCGTTCGCTGGTGTGGATGCTAATATCGTTATCTTTATAGTTATCGTTCTTGGTGTGAACGGGGCTTTACTCACTGTCTCAACTTCAAGCTATTACTATGGAAACAACTGTTTTTGCTCATTAGCATAATAGCAATTACTTTTAATGCTGAATATTAGTATGCAACTTGGGACAAAGCCAAAGCTTCCACAACGTTTTAGAAAATTAGGTTTGTTTATTATTGCTCCTCAGAGGATATCAACCATCAGAGATAATAGGAAATTTGTGATAGCTAATTATGGACCTAATGAAGTGCCAAGAGGGAACAGGAGTGACATTGGCCAACCATCGTGCAGAACACCAGTGTGTAATTGACATTGTCAGATGAAGGGTTCAGATCAGCTGGGTCAGTCGTCAGGCTCTGTTTCAAGGCTTTTCATCAGAAATTTGATTCTTCACGACCAGCTCAAAAAAAAAATCATAGGACATTTATGGTGTACTCAAAGAAAACGATACAGAATAGAGTAGCACAATGTAGAGTAGAACAGAATAAACATAATAGAATAAAACAGAATAGAATAGAAATAAATAGAAGTGTGTAGAACAGAAGAGAATATAACAGAATAGAAAAGAATAGAAGCGTATAGAAAATAACAGAACAGAAGCATATAAAATAGAAAAGAACAGAAAATAGCATCATACAGAGAACAGAATATAAAACAGAGTAATAGAACAGAACAGAATACAGAATAGAATAGAACAGAATAGAGTTGTGCAGAATAGAACAAACAGAAAAAAGCAAGCATGCATTACAGAATACAAACATGCAGATTCTATATAGAATAGAATAGAAAATAAATGAATACAGAATAGAAAACTGAATATAACAAAGCGGAATAGAATATAACAGAACAGTAAAACAGAAAATTATATATTAGTATAAAAAAGAATAAAATAGAATACAGAACAGAAAAGAATAGAAGCATACAGAATATAATAGAATAAAACAGAACATAATCACATAGAATAGAAAACAAAAAATAAAAGCACAGAATAGAACAGAACAAAACTAACAGCAGTGTACAGAATAGAACCGAACAAAAAATAATAACAGTGTATAGAATAGAACAGAACAGAATGGAATACAACAGAACAGAACAGAATACAAGCATACAGTACAGAACAATAAAGAATAGAATAGAACAGAACAGAATAGAATTCAACAGAACAGAATACAAGCATACGGTACAGAACAATACAGAATAGAAGATGATAGATTAGTATAGAAAATAAATGAATACAGAATGGAAAACAGAATATACCAAAGCAGAGTAGAATAGAACAGAATATAAGAATAGAACAGAACAGAACAGAACAGAAAATGATATATTAGTATAGAAAATAATCAAATAGAATACAGAAAAGAACAGAACAGAGGGTCTTTTGCTAAAGATAATAATCGAAGTTACAGGAGACTTAATCAAAAATCTCCATTTACTCTATTTAATCTCACTTCTGTGTTGAAGAAACACCTGAGATAATAAAGAGATGCCATTTGTGATTTTTCTTTTATGTGTGATGATATTGTCTGAAAGTGTGTCTTACAGGGCACTTTGTGATGTCTTGGCTCCACTGGCTCATGTTGGAACTGTCCTCAATCGTCGTGCAGCTCTTCTGTTTCCGGTCCCAGCCGCAGTACGGATCCCTGGCACCCAGACAATCCCTACGATTACAAAAACCACACATCAATGACAAGGTCTTAATTAATACCACCATAAAAAGTGTCCAGTCTGCTCATCAGAACTTCTTAATGACAAAAGAGAAAAAGGAGAGGAGAGATTGGGCTGCAATTGACTTCTACAGGATGTTGCAGACCTTAATAAGTGAAGAATAAATCTCAGTGCAATAAATATTCAAATTAATACCATCCTTCTCAGACTGATCACTAAATCTCAAGGGAATGTTTTGCGAATTTTGTCTATAATCTAAACATCACTTAGAGATTTATTTTATTCAGAGACTGAGCTGAAGTGTAAATAAGCATCTGATCAGAGCGTGATATGATCTGACTGTTACAGTAACTACAGAGAAGACAAATCCTGCTCTGAGAGATAAACAACATCTGACAGCACCTCTGCTGATTTATTAGAGCTAACAGACTTATCATTTTCTTCTTGTGTCCTTTGGGTTCAGTGGAGTGAGACTGCGGGATTAAGTATTGATTAAATATATGTTTCAGTATTTTAATGATGTGCCATTCTTAAGAAGGACAAAGTATGAAAAACCAAACAATGCAAATTACCAGTAAATTACAAGCACATGCATACAATCAAATATTAACCAGTGTTCAAGTGTTTGGGGCCTTGTTTTGTTTTTTGAACAAAATTAATTCAGCAAGGATTCAATTATTTCATTGATTAACAGTTACAGTTAAGACATTTATAAATAATGTTACAAAAGATTTCTGTGACAAATAAATGCTGTTTTTTCAAACTTCCTATTAATCAAATAATCCTGAAATAAAGCATCCTGTTTTCCACAAAAGTATTAATCAGCAAAGCGGTTTTCAACTATCATAATAATCAGAAATGTTTCTTAAGACTGGAGTAATGATGCTGAAAATGTATGGGATGATATTAGGCTCAAAATGATTAATAGATGCACGCACAATTATCCATGTACTGCATAAATTGTATGCATGTATCTTACTAACCACAAACAAATGCCTTTCGATTTGTGTCTGTGGAATTCGGGATTAAATGATTGTGCAGCGATTTGAACAAATACAGACATGTTTGTAAATAAAAATGTTCTGTTCTGCATTAATATATCATTAATTGCTCAAGCAAAAAGGAATCCGTGCATTTGTGGATCAAGTGACACGCGTGCATTTATTGACATCTTGTTCGAGTCAATCTTGTTCGATTCATTTGGATTTTGAGACTTCATTTTCACAGTTTGCAGCATTTCACGATGCCCACACACACAACTACCAATGAACAAGGCCCAGTGCAATTCATTAACGTGTACACGATTTGAAAAATTTGCAAACAAATGCTGATCCACAAATGCACATTTAAATTGCTACATTCACAAATTATGACACTTTAATACAAACTATAACATTTGTATTCACAGATATGTCTTTATTTTAACAAAATGCTGCACATTAATGTAATTTTTAACTCTGCAGACACCGGTTGAAAAGTGTGTGTAGTGAATTTTTTTTTTTCAAATCGTGTACACGTTAATGAATTGCACTGGGCCTTGTTCATTGGTAGTTGTGTGTGTGGGACACAACTACCAATGAACAAGGCCCAGTGCAATTCATTAACGTGTACACGATTTGAAAAATTCGCAAACAAATGCTGATCCACAAATGCTACATTCACAAATTATGACACTTTAATACAAACTATAACATTTGTATTCACAGATATGTCTTTATTTTAACAAAATGCTGCACATTAATGTAATTTTTAACTCTGCAGACACCGGTTGAAAAGTGTGTGTAGTGAATTTTTTTTTTTCAAATCGTGTACACGTTAATGAATTGCACTGGGCCTTGTTCATTGGTAGTTGTGTGTGTGGGTGTTGTGAAATTCTACAAACTGCGAAAATGAAGTTTTTAAAATCCAAATGAACCAAACAAGATTGACTCGAACAAGATGTCAATAAATGCACGTGTGTCACCTGATCCACAAATGCACGGATTCCTTTTTGCATGAGCAATTTATTATATATTAAAGCAGAACAGAACATTTTTATTCGCAAACATGTCTGTATATTTGTTCAAATCGCTGCACAATCATTTAATCCCGAATTCCACAGACTCAAATCGAAAGGCATTTGTTTGTGGTTAGTAAGATACAATGCATAAAATGTATGCAGTACATGGATAATTGTGCGTGCATCTATTAATCATTTTTAGTCTAATATCATCCCATAAAAATTCAGCTTTGCATCACAGGAATAAGTTACATTTTAAAATATATTACAATAGAAAATAGCTATTTTAATATTTCACAACATTAAGCCGACCCTAAACTTCTAAACAGTAGTATAGACACTCATATTTTACTCCCAAATCAAATATAACAGTGTCTCAGCGTCCCACTAACAACTAAACATCCGTTTAATAAACACTAGCAACATTAGAAAACGGCAAATGTGCTAGAGATGCATAAAGAGAATCAATTTACATACATTAAAGGTTATATAAAATTATAATGACATGACTAAACACTTGCAGGTCAATCAACCTCTATAGATGAGAACTGGTATAAAATAATTAGAGTTATTTGCAATATCTTGTAAGATCTGACCTTTTGCCACCTGTTTGTATGTGTGCGTGGGGGAGAATATATAATCAAATGACTTTTTTCCATTGCACTGCCATGCTAAACACCAAGCGGCTTCACAAACACAGTTCTATCACATCCCATAACAGCTTCAAACATCAAAAGTGTCCGCCTCATGCAGCTCCGAGTGTTTGTGCAACAACATCTGCGGCAGGAAGTCAGGAAGAGAGTCTGAGGATCACATAAAGACCCTCTCCTACCTCTAAAGTAATTACCAACACCCTCGAATCATAAGCACATATGTGCCTCTAAACTGACAGATCACATGGAAAACCTCTTCTGATGTGACATGTTGCAAGAAGGCAAAAAACAAACATCTCTATTATATGGTGTATTTTAAATATGGTGTCATGTGGAGTTCTCGAAGGCGTTTAGCAGATCCCAAAAAAACTTTTTGATTGATTTTATAAGTCAATTTACCACGTATTAGGGTACAAAATTGTACAAAGCTCTTACAAATCCAGCTCTGAAGCCCAATTCATCCATGTGGAGGCCATTATTTTATGAATTTGAGATCTAATTACAGTACATCTCTAATGTAAATGCAGTCGCTTCCTGCGAGAAGTGACGCATGCATTATATATTTTTAATGACATTTGACAATTTATAGGTGTTCTATTCATAGCAGCGGTGGAGAACACGATGTAGCAATTTTTTTTAAATGACCTAGTTCATCATTCGTCCGCCTCTCGGCCAGTGGTAGAGGATTTATGAGATAATAATATCTGTGACTGCTCATAAGTACTGTCATTCACTTCATCTCCTTAAACTTCATTTCCTGTCTGACTCCAAGGGCATTAGCAGCTCGGAAGGACATGTGCTGTAATCAGCCTTTGCTGTAATTTAACAGCAACTGTGCATTGCAATATCATGTGTGAATAGGTACTCACTGTCAAAATTATGGCAAACGGGATCTGGAAATTTCTGTACTGATACAATGTGAATGTGACAGTTCAGTCCTGTTCATGGTTAGAACGCTCTGACCTCAGGAGTCTGTTGTCAATGAGTCTGACACAATTATTCTTCAAGATCTTTCTGCATTGAGCACCAAAGAAATCACTCTCTGCCATTGTCTTTTAGTAGCCTATTATACTTCTCTACTTTTCTGTTGAAATTACACTACCATTCAAAAGTTTAGGGTCAGTATGATTTTTTTTTCAAGAAATGAATACCAGCTTGTTCAGCAATGATGCATTAAATTGATCAAAAGTCAAATTAAAGAAACTTTTGATTCATCAAATATAAATATAATCAAAAATATAGCTCCAAAGAAGTCACTTGCTACCACTTTTTTAAAATCCATTACATTTTTGGCAAATCTGGTTTAATCAGCTAATTTCTGTGAAAATGCACCACCATTCAAAAGTTTAGTGTCAGTATGATTTTTTTTTTAAAGAAGAAGAAGTTAATACTTTTATTAATTAAGGATGCAGTAAATTGATCAAAAGTGGCAGCAAAGACATTTAAAATGTTACAAACTTTCTATATACCAAAGAATTGTATGATAGTTCACAACAAAATATTAAGCAGCACAACTGTTTTCAACACTGATAACACTGCAGCCCCCTCAGCACCCCTACTTCCCGCGTCCCTGCACAGAGCACAACACTGGAGGACAAAGGTGTGAATGTCACAATCGTGTGACACTGAAGACTGGAGTAATGATGCTGAAAATTCAGCTCTACATCACAGGAATAAATTAGATTTTAAAATATATATAAATAGAAAACAGTTGTTTTAAATCACAATAATATTTCACAATATTACGGTGTTTTTTATCAAATAAATGCAACTTTGCTGAGACTTCTTTCAAAACATTTTAGAAAACTAGTATTATTCATAAAGCCTAGTCGAGTGAAGTGCATGTCCTAGTTGATGTGTGCATGCGTGCGACTCACTGTTCGGTTTTGTAGTTGGAGCATCTTTCCAAGGGGATCTTCAGCACTCTGCTGGGGAGTCCCACGAAAAGCGACCTATCGCTGTGCAGAATCTGCAGGTTCAGGATTGGCTCCTGCATGTTTTCTGGGAGAATGTTCATCTCCTCCAAGTAACAGCCGCGCAGACTCTTATTAGTTGTGGATAAGGCCTTGATGATGGTGCCGTACTCTGATTGGTCAATGAAAGAAAACTATTAGAACCACATTGCACAACACTGGAGGACAAAAGTGTTGAATGTCAAACTTTATTCTTTCCTGACCTGTGCCGATGTACATGACGTGGTAGAGCGTGTCTCTCCCTTGAACAATGTCCACAGCCAGTCTGGAGAAACGGATGTTGTCTTGCATGACCAGAGGATCCGTAGAGATGGGTTGAACCACCTCGCTCATGAGGAAGAGCCGCTGGGCGTCCTGAAGACTGCGTTCTGTTAGATTACCGCCAGGACCTGAATCATTCACTGTCCCACACTGTCACAGAGATAAGCGATGAGGAACTGCACATTCGAGAAACTGTAAATCTAAATCGAACTGACTACTGCATTTTGTGCCAAACGTCTTGAATAAAATTGTGAGTTGGCTTCAGGGTAAAAGTAAAATACTTTGAAATGGAAGCTGCAGCAGTTCATTTCCTTCACCTGAAAATCTGGGATGGGGTTGGGAGTGGAAAGCCAGCTGGTCCGAGGGTTCTCCTGATAGCGAAAGGGTCCGTTAAAGGCCTGCGTGATGGCACTGAGGTTAAACGCACACACCGCTGACGCAGCAATGCTGTTCCTGTGAATGAGAGGAAGAAGTGAAAGATGGTGTGGTGCTGTACATTCTGAATACAAATTTTAATAGAAAAACAGTAGTGTTCAAAGTTAGGGGTCGGTAAGATTTTAAGAGCTAGATGTACTGAAGAGGGCAAAGTAGTTCTGCTGGTGATCTACTGACAATGCACAAATTAAAGAACACAGATGAAGCCAGATAATTTCCATAATGACCTAGCAAATTAGCAACTAAGGCAGCCATCAAGCACAAAGTGATTTCCGATATGCTTTTTTGGAAATTGAATGGCCCAAATAGCAGTAAATTGACTCCTGCAAACCTTAGTAAGTAGCCTTGCATGTTTTATTTTAATATTCTCCTCCCATAAATGTTGCATCTAGGGATGCTCATACTAACCAGTTAACCAATTAACCGTTAACTGACAGTAAGAAGTTTGACTGATTTATACTGTTAGTTAAACTTAGTTCAATTCTAGTAGTTTTTAAACATATTTTAAAAAGTTTGTCGGCGCCGATAGCCTCGTGGTTAGTGCGTTGACATACAATGCAACTTTGCTCACAGCGACCCGAGTTCGAATCCCGTCTTGGGGTCTTTTGCCAAACCCACTCCCCTCTCTCCACCCAATGCTTTCCTGTCATCTCTCTACTGACCTATCCTAACAAAAAAAGGCATAAAAGCCCATAAAAATAACTAAAAAAAAAACGTTTGCTGCATGGTTACAAATATAAAATAAAATAGTTTTTATGAGAAAAACAGATAAGTCATTTTATTATTACATTCAGAAATACCAGTAAATAAAGTGAAATGTGACCCTGGACCACAAAACCAGTCATAAGGGTGAATTTTTTAAAATTTTTATTTATCTGAAAGCAGAATTTCCATTGATGTATGGTTTGTTAGGATAGGACAATATTTGGCCGAGATACAACTATTTGAAAATCGGGAATCTGAGGGTGCAAAAAAATCTAAATATTGAGAAAAGTTGTTCTTAGCAGTGCATATTACTAATCAAAAATTAAGTTTTGATATATTTACGGTAGGAAATTTACAAAATATCTTCATGGAACAAAACCTAATGATTTTTGGCATAAAAGAAAAATCGATAATTTTGACCCATACAATGTATTTTTGGCTATTGCTACAAATATACCCCAATGACTTAAGACTGCTTTTGTGCTCCAGGGTCACAAATGTTTACAAACATTAGAAAAACTATATATATAACTAGGCTATATGCTATTTTAGTCCACCTCACTCCACAACAAAACATTTCAATTTAATGGTACTCAGAAAAGAACACGGAAAATATAAGACGCTAGTTAAACAACAAGCCAAAACAAATTAATTTAAAGCAAAACTGAAACAGAAACCGAAGTTGGGCTCACGTAGCCTCTCATTCGGCACAAATCCAAATGTTTCCATATTTGCGATGTATTTGGATGCCAAACTATGATTTATTATGTAGGCTGAACCAGGCTTTGTACTTCACTTGTGTTCCAATATCCACGTAAAACCGAATGTGCTTGGCATAATATCACTGAAGGATCATGTGACACTGAAGACTGGAGGAATGATGCTGAAAACTCTTCGATCACTAGAATAAACGACATTTTACAATATTTTCAAGTAGAAAACAGTACTTACAAGACATTAATAAATGGACGTTTTATTTTGTTGCAAATTCTGCTCTAGCCTAATGAAATTCCTGCCGTGTGACTGTTCACTACTTCATGAAGCATCCACTCACACGTTGGTGGTGAAGACTCCATAGAGGAGATCTTGCTCAGGGAGGTAGAAGGTGCTCTGCAGCTCATGGTAGTAGAAGGGAACATCTCCAGAGCGGGAACAGTTGAGTCGAGCCTTCATGAAGGTGGTCCATGTGTCTTCCAGCAGGAAACGACCACCAATGTCATTCTGACACACACGGGCCACACGAGAGTAGACCGTCTTCCCACAGTCCTGTTCTACTGCGTTCTCTCTCAGAAAGAGGTACGTGAAGCGGCCCACCTCGTATGCAGAGACAAAGTGAGGTTCTGTAGAGAGAAAGGGAAGAAAGAAGGTGGATATCTTGCTTTCAGTCACCACGATGTGGTGTGACATAACAAACTATAATACCTTAAAGATAATTATTTCAAAAAACAGACATAAATATAAGGGTGAATCACAAAAACATGGCCAGGTGACTTTTCACACCAAAATCAGAAGAAAAATAAGTTTTATTTAAAGAAATCGAAGAATATTTAAGACAATTAGGATGCTTGAATTATGGTATTCTTTCCCTCAAAATCAAATTTTTTTGTTGATTCTCACCACTGTAATACAGATTTTTTTATCACAGTGAAAAATACTATGTATAATGCAACAATTTTAATTTTAAATAATTTTTTATCACAGTAATAAAATTCTTAATGCAACATTTTTAAATAAAAAATGTATCCACGCTTAACTTTTGAGTTTTTTAAATGTTTGTCATGTTTCATTGTTGAATTTTCTTATACAGTATTGCGGCATGAATAAAATAAGCTAATATAATGATTTTTTACTTTAAAAATAAATGCTATCATAGTAAAAAAATATGTTGTAATTTTATATTTAATGCAACATTTTTAAAGCATAAACAATATATCCAGATTTTTAACTCTTGTGTTTGTGTTTAATTTATATTTTCTAACACAATATTTTGATACTTCATTACATACAATTAGTTCATATTTCTCAGTGTATAAATTAAGGCAAGTAAAAAAAATACTACCATGATGTATAAATAAAAAATACAATTAAATTATCATTATTTTTTCAGTAATGAGAATATAGGTCAACATAGGCTTAATTGTCATGAAAATAATGGTATAATGCTAAATAATAATAATAATAATAATAAATATATATTTTAATATACAGGTGTTATTTTGACTTTAATGTAAAATATGACCTAAACATATTCTTAACAGGAATTTTCAGATTCATTGATAAGTTGTGTGTTGTCCCGCTGTACCGTTGAGCCATTTGGAGTTGTACTGTGCAGTCCGCAGGGGCGGCATGTTCCCCAGACTGCGGTAAATAATCGGGTCGCGGCTGGAGAAATCAGTCACTGTAGCTGCGTAGACTTCTCCACTCTCAGTTATCATGGCTGTAGAGTTGTGTCGAGGGTCGTAGGGACAGCGGGCCACACCGCTGATGGACTCCAGGACGCTGGAGATGTCCGTAACAGGGCGAGTCGTACACATGGGCATGAAAGCATTAGTGCCGCAGGTGAACAGACGACTGCCGTTCAACAGGAGGACACGGACATAGTTCTGACACTCATCCTGAAAGAGAAGAAACAATTCATTTCACACACATTACAGTTTACTTCCAGAACCCTATCGGTGCACACCATTAACATGCAGTACATTCATTCAGAGTGCTTTATGGTAAACCACTCCACATCCCAGTGTTCGTCTCTCACCTCTGTCTTTCCTTTGCTCTGGCAGGACCTCCTGGTGCTCTCGTCTACTCCCCACTCTGTGGCCTGCAATTAACAGCCAATTAACATCATGGTTAGAAGTAAAGCTATTAAGACATGCATCAAGTGCATCCATTAACTCAGAGATTCACGAGGCAACAGAGGGGGTTCGTGAGTTGACAAAAAACGAATAATTAATTCAAATAAATAAATTCTTTTATAATAGTTCAAAAAATTATTTTAGATATTTGTTTACCTGCTTGTCATGTAACCATAGGCCAACATCTGAAAAGCATGAACCATGTAATTTTAGTATCACTAGGATACTATAATTAACATCATGGTTAGAAGTAAAGCTATTAAGACATGCATCAAGTGCATCCATTAACTCAGAGATTCATGAGGCAACAGAGGGGGTTCGTGAGTTGACAAAAAACGAATAATTAATTCAAATAAATAAATTATTTTATAATAGTTCAAAAAATTATTTTAGATATTTGTTTACCTGCTTGTCATGTAACCATAGGCCAACATCTGAAAAGCATGAACCATGTAATTTTAGTATCACTAGGATACTATTCTTTTTAAAATATTTTGAATTTAGCTCTAATATGTTACATATTTAGTTTAATATTTTAAATACTTTTTGTATTTTCTGTTTTAATTATTTACTTACAATTTTAAAATGTTTTTGTCATTTTTAAAAAGTTACTGTTTTTTAAATGTGTAAATAGTATTTAGTTATATTTATTTAAGTTTTAGTTCAAGCAACAGTGTTATTTTCACATCAATTATATTTTGCTTTCATGTTGATGTTAGTTAATGTCTCAGTAACTTTGTTGTGTGTTTTTGTCGTTTTTATTTATTTTTAATATGTCTTCTATAAATAGACATTAAACTAACTGTCTAAAAGTTAAGCTAAAGGAAAATGAGAAATGTTGCTTTGGGAACTAGAAAAATTTATTTTTTGTAAAAAAAAATTTTATTATCAGTTAATGTTTTTATTTCAACTAAGGACGTTTTTAGAATTAGCTAAAGGGTTAGTTCACTCAAAAATGTAAATTAGCCCGTGTTTTACTCACCTTCAAGGCATCCTAGGTGTATATGACATTCTTCTTTCAGACGAATACAATCGGCAATTAAAAATTGTCCTTGCTCTTCCAAGCTTTATAATGGACGCATACCTTCTACGTCATCCGCCAGAACGGCTTGCACAGTTAGCGGAAGTGAGAGAAAAGTGTTTATAACGTTTTAAATATGGATATTTTTCTTACAAAAATGCATCAATTCTGCCTTTATTCACCCCCGGAGCCATGTGAGGCACATTTTATTATGGATGTGCGTGCTTTATTTTACTTCTTTTGGACTGTTGAACAGAAACACCCACCCGCTGCCATTATAAAGCTTGGAAGAGCAAGGACAATTTTTTTCTATTCCTCCGATTGTATACGTCTGAACGAAGAAAGTCATATACACCTAGGATGCCTTGACGGTGAGTAAAACATGGGCTAATTTACATTTTTGAGTGAACTAACCCTTTAACAATAATATCCCTGTTAAGTGCATCAAGTTAAACTAAATAAAAATACGAAATATTGCTTTGGTAACTAGCTGAAATAAAATATTTCAAGTTGTTTTTTTTATTTTTTATAATTGAGTGTATTTCAGTTTTCTTTATGTTTACATTTACTTGAAGTAAACGTTTTTATGGATTTATTTTCAATCCAGCACTATAACATGTCAAATGCATCTCACTGTTTGTGTTTCAGCATTTTTGTAGCAATGTTACAACTCTATTCTCAATGTTACAAACACTATTACACTCACAGCTCAAGACGAAGATGCTGTTTTGCCTGTCTACAGTGCAGACTACATAGGGAATGTATCAGCTGCCAGTCATACTTAAAAGCTTTCCTGTTTTCCGATTTGCAAAGGAATCTTTTGAATGATTCGACTGAACCGATTCACAACACATTCATCACTCCTTGTTTGCGAGTAAATCTGTGATGTGTGACGAGTCAGAATCATAAACAACAGTATTTAAATATTTAGTTCACAACAAAAATTGTAAAAGATCACACAGAGATGATTCAAACAAATCTGTCAATTGTTTACTTCAACCTGTTCCTTTAAACGAACTGCCGAAACCAACAAATTCGGTAAAGTGCAAATATCGACATGCCTTTTACCTTAAAAAGCCATGACAACAAACCTAAACCTTTCTTGTTTTTATGATTAGGAGACAGAATAAGTAAATGAACTAAAACTATGAAAGATAATCAGTCATGGGAAGCTCTTCCGTTCACTCAGATACTTTCCTTATTGTGAAGAATGTACGAAACACACAATAATAGAAGACAAAAAGACGGAAAGTTTCGCTGCATATACACAATATGACTCTATAGTGAGGGAGAGCAACTGTGTGACATTTAATTAGGGAACACTGGATGGTTTGTCCTAATCGCATTGGTTCCCTTATCTGAACCCTTGAATGTGTTGTTTCACTCGTTTTAAGACGTTCTTCCTCTCTTTTGTTCCTTGTCCCTCCCTCTCCTTTCACAGGCTGCTTTGTCATGTTTATCTGTGTTGTCACATTCCCACCATACGCTAAGTGCAGAGGTGGTCTCGAACCATCCTTCAAGACAAACAAGGCCAATTTAAACCCACTCCCAGATGAGATTGCTGTCTACAGCAGCTCCTCACCTCAAACACAGACATTCTGCAGCAGCAGACAAACGTACAGATGTCTGCATATTGAACGGATCATATACTACACTTTATTTGATCCACAGTGCTAGTGAAGATATCTTGCACCAAAAACAGAAAGTTTTTCCATAACCATTTTCCCACAAAACATACTCTAAAGGATGAGCAAACAATGACAGAATTTGCTTTTTGAATTATTCTGTTAAGAACTAAACTAAACTAAAATTCCATTAAAAAAAATAAATAATAAATAAAATCAAACAAATGTATAGATTTTATTATTATCCTGGTCCCAATCATACACAATAATTAGAAGATGAAAAAAATATTTTAAGTAAATAAATACATAAAAATTAAAATGTTATTATAACCCAGGTACCAAACAGACATTATCTGATTCTTATGCTCAAAACATACTCTACAGAAAGATAAGCAAATTATGACATTTTCATTTTTTTATGAAAATAAATAAAGTCTCAAATAAAATTAAATAATTACTTTTTTTTGATGAACTTGCAAAAATAGTTTGGTTCCTCCTTTCAAGAGATTCAGAGGAGAGGAGCTCAAATCAGGATGCTGAACATGACGCAGCTGTCTTGGAAGTCAATGCTTTTCAAACATCTCCACAATACCAGACGCTACTGAATGTGTGTATGTGTGTGTTTGATTTGTTGGATATTTCTGCTTCTGTGCGTCAGCACTTTCAAACATGTGAGCAATCATAATAAAATACAGAGTCTAAGTGTATGTCTGGCATGGGATGAATTAAATGGACAGTGCTGGTTCTGCATTTCTAGAGATGTCAAGATGATTGGATGGACAGATGGGAAGGAGAATAAAGAGAGAAAGAGAGCAAGTGACGTCCTACCTGCAGGAGAGAGAAGTTGCTCAAACTCAACCGGAAGAGATGATTCCTACACAGAGAGAGAGTGCTTTAGGTTTGATAGGCTCAGCTGGGCTTGTACTTCTGTCTCTGTCTGTGTCTGTGTCTGTGTGTGTGTGTGTGTGTGTGTGTGTGTGTGTGCGTTTGTGTGTTACCTGGCTCCCACTATCAGCTGGTTCCTGGTGAGGTCGAGTGCGAGCGGTGAGTAGTCATTCACTCCAGGCAGAGAGAAAGAGGACAGCCACGGGCTCAAAGCTACGGCAGAAAAGAGCCACAGGTGACATTTAGACAGTTAGCTGTGAGCCAACATGTTTAATCTGCTGTTTAGCTGCTGGTTTCATTGTTTGTAATACTACAAACTGAGAAAAATCCCACAAGATACTCTTCATGTTGCTGAGCAACTTCACTGTTCTGTATGATTGGTCTCTGCACACATACAGCGTAAATGTTTCGTGAACCGTGTCAGGTTCACGAAACATTTACAACTGTCTAAGAGAGTTTGATTCATGCATTCATTATCTTGTTCATGATAAGACGCATTATGCACTGATGCAATTTACACACAAACAGGAACTTTTTTATATTTTTTTTAAAAGTCTCTTCTGCTCACGGCTGCACTGATTTGTTCAAAAATACAGTAAAAACAGCATAATTGTGAAATATTTTTACAATTTAAAAGAACTGTTTTCTATTTGAATATATATTTTTGAGTAATTTATTCCTGTGATCAAAGCTGAATTTTCAGCATCATTACTCCAGTCTCCTGTGTCACATGATCCTTCAGAAATCATTCTAATATACTGATTTGCTGCTTAATATTTTGACACACGATACATTTTTTCAGGATTTTGTGATGAACAGAAAGTTATAAAATTGCATTTTAATGAAACATAAATCTTTTCCAACATTGTGAATGCTTTTACGGTCACATTTGATCTATTTAATGCATTCAGGAAAAATCTTCCTGACCCCAAACTTTTGCACAGTAGTGTATGATTAGATTTTTAAAAACAATGGCAAGTTTCACAGCCCACCAACAACGTTAATGCATTCAGAGGCAGGAACAGCTGCTGGCAACCTGGTGAACTCCAGCCGTATGTGTGAGGATACTTAATATATGTTGTCCTGTTTAAGAGAAACAGCCACAGAGAAAGAGAAAGCAAGGGTTGGGAGTCCAACCCACACACGCTGGACCATTAATGAGGTGGGATACTCACGAAACCAGACGCCCAATCACAACATCAGCCACAACACAACTCTCATACAGAAAGACAGAGAGGAGGTGAAGGAATAGCCTGCAAATTCTTGTGAAACTTTAAATGCAACCTTTGCAAAACTAGTTTTTGGGGTGTGCTGCCAGTAACACACTACAACAAACTATTTCTTTTCAAAATAATGAACTGCATAAAATCATTTAGTGATGTGTATGTGTACTGCTAAACATCAGTGAAGACAAAGTCATTGGCTGCTGCTTGTTGGAGAAGAAGGAGAAGATGCAGTGGACCTAAAAGTTATTTCATCACTTAAAGGTGCTTAGAAGTTATTTTAGAAAAACACACGCGAAAATGTCCAAGACTACATAAACAGCTAAATAAATATCTGTCCATCTGAAGCAGACTGTGCTGATTTGCCAATCAGAACATTTAGTCAATTAGAAACACTCTGTTTGGCCAAAAGCTCATTTGAAGGAGAGCGTTTTGGTGAGGTCGGCACTTTCTGACTCTTTCTGATTGTCAAATTGCACGATATGGGCCTAGTGAAATCTTGCGTAAAAGCCAAGACAGACTGTGCAACATTGACTGTCTTTCATATCAGAATATCCCTCATGTCAGTCTAAACTAGAAGACTTTTTTCTTCTTTGGAACATAATAGCAGTTTCTGTTTCAGTTCTCATTTTGACTTCCATTGTATTTTGTGTCCACATTACATTTCGCAGAAATGAGGAATACAACAGGTAATTCCGTACAAAGAAAGTCAATGGGAACCAATTACTAACATTCTTCAAAATATCTTCTATTATATTGGTAAACCAAACCGTTTCCGTTCCTATTGTTTGGCTATACAATAGAAGTAAATAGGATTCAAAATTGGTTACCAACACTGGAACATGAAGGTGAGTAAATGATGACATATTTTTATTTTTTGGTGACTTCACCTTCAGTCAGTGTTTGTGTCAGTTGTTCAATCGTAATCTTTTATGATTTCCAAAACTTTGTCTAAGATGGCAAAATCGTGGAGAAAATCATACTGTGTGAACCAGGCTTAAGTTAAGCGGAAGAAAGCAGAACAAATTAAATTGCTTATAGCACCTTTAAAATGTGTGATTTAAATGTCTGAAAATGTTTTAGTGGCAAAAAGAAAACAGTGACTAATGATGAAATGATCAGACATTTCAGGAACAGTTCGGCTGAAGAGAAGAAACACCCCATTTAGTTCTCCAAACAGTGCTGAAGCAAGTGCTGCTGTAAATCAGGGTCGTTATCACCCTAAAACAGACGACTACACCCTCAATAAATTCTCCTGAATCTCTCTCGATGGGCAAAATCACTCTCTCAATGTCTTTAGTGTACAGCAGTTCTGACAGACTTTAGACTATTACAATCCATCAAAATATGCTTCAAAGATAATGGATTCTGGCACAAAGAACATAAAGGAGGATCTTCACCCGCCAACAGAAAACTATGGGTTAGTCTGGAATGTCAGCTTCTGCTACTACTGCAACTCACTAACAATTCTATAATAGAGGACAATATAACACTTACAGTGTAGCCTCGCATATATTCTAACAGAGCAGACTGTGTCAATTAGTGTGCGATATTAGAAACTGCAGGGCGTGAGCACATACTCCTTAGTCTGGAATGTCAGCTTCTGCTACTACTGCAACTCACTAACACTTCTATAATAGAGGACAATATAACACTTACAGTGTAGCCTCGCATATATTCTAACAGAGCAGACTGTGTCAATTAGTGTGCGATATTAGAAACTGCAGGGCGTGAGCACATACTCCTGATTGTACACACAGCTGTGTTAACCTTTAACATCTGGCCAGCATATGATTAAAACTGTTAAACACAGACAGGCACCAATGAAAGGCCGCTGGCAATTAACTAGTCTTAGGCTACGTTTGCACGACACTGATGTAGTCAAAAACAGAAAATGTATTCCCTTGCATTTTTAAAAAGTTTCACGAATACAGGACAACGTTTTCAAAACGATTAGCGTTTACACATATCCGCGAAAACGGCCAAAAACGCTGTATTACGTATGCCAGGCCAGTAGTTGGCGCTGTTACCTTGTTAGTAAACAGTACCTGTAGGGAAGTCACGATTATATGTTGTATATGATGCGTCTCCGCTGTTAATTGTAATATTGGTGAAGTAAATCCACACTTTGCTGAAGAAGCGTTAGCAAACTCTTAAGCAGCAACAACAGTACCATATACTCCGCCATTGTTGTCTATGTTTGTTCGCGCTTGCCTTTAAAATCGACACGTACTGCACAAGTCTACATACCTAACACATACTACGCACGAGTATGACATCACTGTTTTCACGGTTTCACGTCATCACGTTTTCACCGTTTTACACAGAAACGACAACGGTGGCGTTTTCAAAAACCTGCACTTTGAAACCCGTTTTTTAAAATTTGCATTTTCAGTCCCCAAAACGCCGTTGTCGTGTAAACGAACAGGCAAAACGCATAAAAAGTTTCCCGTTTTTGGCTGAAAACGCTGTCGTGTAAACGGCCCCTCAGATGAAAACATACCCTGGACCGGCAACAGGCCATTAATGGACGGCCTGATGCATACTGCACATAAAAGTGGCAAAAGTTTCCTCAAAACAGACAGCTGTAATCTGAATGATTGGCTTTAGGCAATTTCAGGTGTTAAAGTGCAGCAAATGGAGTTGGTTTGTTGTTTTACATGTCAGCAAAGTCCCAGTAAAGCAATTTGGTTCACTTGGTGGCCAACTTTCCATGGTTTGTCAAGGTTATGTTTCAATAATGTGTCAAAGAAACAATAAAATCTGACAAAAATAGTGTAATTAACTTCTTTGGCCCAAATCAAGCTGCACTACTGTTTAAAAGTCTGTAAGATTTTTTAAAATATTTTTGAAAGAAGTGTCAAGGCTGTATTTATTTGATTAAAAATATAATAAAAAAAACAGTAATGTTGTGAAATATTATTACAATTCTAAATAGCTGCTTTCTATTTTAATATATTATAATGTGTAATTTATTCCTGTGAGGTAAAGCTGAATTTTCAGCATCATTTTTTAAATTTATTTACTGCTCTAGAAATATTTCTATTTATTATCAATGTTGAAAACAGTTGTGCTGCTTCACATTTTTGTGAAAACGCTAATATGTTTTTTTCATGATTTCCTGATGAACAGAAAGTTCAACAATACAGCATTTATTTAAAATGGAAATCTTCTGCAACATTATAAATATCTGTACTGCCACTTTTGATTCATTTAATGCACCCCTGCTGAATAAGTATGGTCTAGCTAATGCACATTTAATAATAAAACGCAAGTGATGTCTTTTTCAAAAAGGCTCTTGTTACTGAAAGTTACAGCCTTCATAATGAGCAATGTGATTTCTCCCATTCATTTTACTGTTATTATCCCGTCTCAGTTTCAGTTAGATGGTCTCTTCTGATCTAGCTGTAATGTGGACGTTTGGCTATGTGAGACTCACAAGCAGTTTCTACCAGCTCGACCAATATTACTGAGATGTTCAGGGAAAAAAATTATTCAGAGGCTTAACGTTTTAACCTTTGGCTTCAAATGCGATGATGGAAAGGGCAGGAGAGAACGCAGTATTTTACACCCACCTGTGTAGGAGGTAACGGGGTGCATTTTTCTCCGACACTCTTCAGGCAGAGAGGGCACAGACTCAGGGTCAGAGGTCGCTGGGAGTGATGGCGTCTGTGACGTGACAAGAGGCAGAGAGAGGAGGAGGAAGATGACAAGTCCAGCGAAGGACAGCGGTCCGACCCGGAACGGCAATGCTGTCATGATTACTGCAACAACCACTCCTGTTCTCAGGAACGATGACAGAGCCCTGAGAAGAAAGAGCAACATTCGGGTTTGGGAAGTGAAAGCTTCATTTGTTTTAGGGAAATTGATTTTAATGCTAACTTTTAAACCTTTAAAGACAGACCTGTTGTGAGCTACGAGGTTGTTAACAGATGGTTTATACTTTTGCTGAAGCCATCAGTCCACATTATTTCAACTTATTTTTTAAGTAATCAAGTTTGACAGCTGAAGTTGTGGTGAAAACTACATTACCCATGATTCTGCTGTACAGAAAAATTCACCAATCAGAGAGTTGCAGAGACTTAATCGCACAAAAGATCTTGCAGGGAATGCCACAAATGACATAATCGAGTCGGTCTCCCTACACTCTCAAAATACTTCAATTTTACATTTCACCATCAATCTTAATTTGATTATGTCATTCAAAATGCTCCATGGGATTGTAGTTCTTTCCATTAAAGCCATCAAGTTTTGTCTTTTTGGTTTTTCGCTTCAAATAAAAGTTTGTAATGTTGTGTTTCACCTCATAGATGGTTGGCTTAATTCATGGCTTTTAACGGTTTAAAAAAAGACTTTTTAAAAATCCCTATGGGAAAAATGTATGAAAAAAAAAAATTCCCGGATCACTGAAAAAGTGAGTGGCCATTAATGCACTCTTTTTAATGCAAGCTTAACTATACCATGTTATTTAATAAATAAAGACTTGCAAAATGGAATTTCTGAAAGCTTCAGTCCGTTATTGTAATTCCATGGAAAACCAATATAAATCTTCAAAATTTCTAGTAAAACAGGTTTTGAATTGTAAATGATGAAAGTATACAAATCAACAAAATAAACCAAAAACTGGAAGAACAGAAAGAAAACAGATGGACAACCAGACAGCAAGTGAGTTAGACGGACAGATAAAACAGACAGAACGCAGAGAGACGGCTTCATCTTCTCCTGAAGGGTTAAGATGGTGTAAGTCTTGCTCTTTCTAATCTAATTAACCTCCATCTCTCATCAGAGTAAACGACTGGACCTCTTCCAAGACCCACAGCGGTTCAACATAATGTTATTCTAAAACATAACATTGATTTTGCTGTAATTGTCAGCCTGTGGACGATGAGCCAGCAGATCATTAAAAGTTTAATTACAAGTTGAAGAAGGGATTTTGATATATTTTCAGCCTGTCACGGGAATCAATGGGTCTCTGTAATGACCTCCCTAAAGCTTAAAACGCTTCACCCAGTTCATTTTCCATTAGGTGTTTGACAGCGCTTGAGGCGCAGGGAAAACCAACGTGTAAACACACATCTGAGATCTTACATAAGCTCAGAATATATACTGTATATACACACAGCTTCACTTCAATACAAACCTCCCTGTTAGTCCTCGAGTAAACACAAACACACATGCACAAACACATGCTCAATCACACTTAAACCTACTTCCTGACACGTCATAGAGAAACCACTGCAGCATCTGTCTTGGTTTTACGCAAACACAAACACGCCAAACACTGGCCACTCTGTAGAGAGGTGGTCTGATGTCCTGTATCTGTAACTAGGTAGGGATGCACCGAATGTTTGGCAACCGAAATTATTCGGCCGAAAATAGCAAAAAGATATCTTTCGGTGTTTGGCTGAATAAGCTAAAAGGCCGAATAATATGTACCAAAAAATGACTAACGCGATCAAATAGAGCACGCACTAATTGTTACTCGTCAGTTGCTCAGTAACATTTTTGTGAATTTTTTTAAAGGCATGTGACAATGTGATGCGTGCGACAAACATCTTCCCAAATTCGTAATTTATAAATCTGCATGCTGTTGTCAAGAAAAAGAAGCACTGACTGAGATCTTCCTGCGGGTTTCTGCCAAAATAAACGCTGAGAAAAAGCAACAACTCCATCAACATTCATAAATGTTAGTTTTGTAATTTTACTGTTGTTCTGTAAAATAAAATAAAAAAGTAAGACGATAATAATGATAATAATAATTACCCTACAACAGCTCTATTAATACATTTATTATAACATTCACACAGCGTTCAAACTGGGATCTGTAATATATTCTAATGTTTTAAAAGAATTCTCTTCAGCTCAGCAAGGCTGCCTTTATTTGTACAGTAAAAAATACATGCCTGATTCAAGTCTCAAAAATATTATTTTACTAACTTATTAATTTTAAGTTAAATTGTGCTTTGTTGGTATAATGTCTGCTAGAATGTTAAAAAAATGTTCAGTGTTAAGTAAATATTTTTCAATTGTAATTGATGTTTTATTAGAAAAGCAGGACAAAAAAGTAAAAGGCACATTTTGGCTATTTAATATATACAATGGTGAAAAGAATGGCAAAATAGGCCTACATGGGGGGAAAAATGCGGAAAACCGTGTTCGGTATTCGGCCTTCGGCCCAGTGTTTCATTTTGGTCGGCTTTGGCCAAGAATTTTCATTTCGGTGCATCCCTATAACTAGGCACACCTTTTTCACATTTTTGTACTGATTCAAATGGAAATACTCATATACTTTAATAAGTCAAGTCAGTCCACTCAGGTCAACTTAGAAACACCCCCAAACAGCTATTTTTCATTTAGAAAAACATTTAAAAAATGTAAAAAGGAAAGCCTAACAACTCCAAAACAATGTCAAGATCATAAATAACAGCTGATGCCCCTATCAAAATAACTATTGGCCTTTTGGCATTTCTCCATATTGTCGCCATATTGAATGTTACATTTTTCACATTCATTTTTCAACAAGTGATCCTTGCGTGTGTGCAAATAATTTTCAGGAATTGAAATTAAGTTGAATTTAAAATACATTTTAAATGAAGTTGCCTTGGAAACTACCTGAAATAAGTTTAAGTACTATGATTACTAAAACTGAAATAAAAAGAAAAGTATAAAAATTATAAAAGCACATAAAAAAAATCACCTAACCCCAAACTAAAATTAAAATGAAAACTGAACATGTAAAAATAAAAGCTTATTCAAAATATTATAAAAAATTATCATCGCAAATAAATTATATTAAAATAACACTGAGCTGAAAGCTTCATTTCATTTTTTTCATTTAAAAATTCAAACAGCTTTTATTCAAAATTATTATTTTATAAAAAAAAAAAAAATGATACTCTGTCCAAACAACATATTAATACCTAAACATTCAAAATAATTTTTTTCAGCTGAAAGTTTCATTTTAGCAGAAACAAAAATGTTTACATTTGATTTTACATGGTATTTAATAAACTGATGTGTGAGCTGACTTTTTCAGAGTTAAAACACTTTTTCATATACCAGTTGAATATGCAGAAAACAGCTATAACTATAAGTTGATTTAACCCCAAAACAATATAAACAATATAAACTTCCCATCCTAAATGGCAACACTGGCTCATTGTGGGCGGGGCTATCTGTGTCTCACCAATAGCAGACCCTTTTGAAAACTGTACTTATTTTTACGGTTCCACTTAATGACACTACTATCGGAGCTGAAATTGCACACTTCAGTTTCACACAACATTTATACAATACTCTCAAAATCCAGTTAATAAGGAAAAACAGTCACAGCAAGGGGAGGGGGTTGTGTAGAATTGTATGAATGGTGTGTATTTGAATTCTTTGGAAATGCATCGAGTTTTCAGTGGAATTCTCTGGCAGCGGGCGCCGCATGCGTACTGTTGCTCTTCTTCTTGGCTCCGGGAGCGTGATGCTGTGCGGCAGACACTTCATCGCCGACCATGTCTAATGCACCTCAATAGCAAAAGACCCTCAATCCCCCAAATCCCCCTTAATACCCTCAGCACTCCCACATTCAGTCTATTCATGCCCACCTTCTCAGACTCATCAGAGGCCATGGAGATGGAGGGATGACGGAGAGAGAGATGGAGAACCATGAAAGCCAATGATGGCAGTGACAAATGCACCGGAGGGGAGGCCAGGGTCAGACAATGAGCAGACTAGGTGGGCCACTGACGGCCCGTCTGGGACGATTCCTTTTGGGTTAATAGAGGAGATATGAAAGAACGGGATGAATAAATAAGGTCAAAGATGGTTGACAGGCACAAATGCGCTCAATAACACACAGATATCCTCGAGGTCAGTACAGGTTAATAATGGGCTGACAGCTCTTCTAACTAGATTAGACTACGAGTGAACAATTCAAACAATGTGTGCTAAAGTTACTCAAGATTTCCAAGGATGTTTATGGGTAATTCACAAGGCAACTTCAAATTTTCAGACTGTGCTGTTTCTACACAATATTGCGACATTGCTCGAGGTCACGCTTGGTTTAGAGGCAGTTTGTTTCTTGCACTTGCAAAGTAGCACAAAATCCACCAAAACAATCAGTGATTTACGAGAGCATGAGATTATCAACTAATGTTATTATATAAGAGAGACTTTTCAAAGTGTAAATATATCCCAGTCATAACATAATGCTTGATTATGAGATTATCAGAATTAAACAGTCTCCCCTTTTGTTGTAACAATATTTAAAAAAAATAATAAATGTGGTTTCACTTCTACTCAGGTTTCTGTCTGTCTGATCTAGTCAGATTTTTTTAAAGAGATTAATAAGGATGTATTAAAATAGGTCAAAAGTGACAGTAAAGACATTTAAAAATCTTCCAAAAGATTTCTATTTCTAATAAATTCTAGTGAACTTTTCATCTACCTTTCACTATTCATCAAAAAAAAAAAAATCCAGATTTCCAAAAAATATGAAACAGCACTACTGTTTTCAACATTAATAATAAAAAATGTTTCATGTTTAGCAAATCAGCATATTAAAATGACTTCTGAAGGATCATGTGACACTGAAGACTGGAGTAATGATGATGAAAATTCAGCTTTGCATCCCAAAAATAAATTACAATTTAATATATATTCAAATAGAAAACAGTTGTTTTAAATTGTAATAATATTTCACAATATTTTTAGATTTTACTGTATATTTGGTGAGCACAAATCAATAAAACATTAAAAATCTTTAAAACATTACAAATCTAAACAAACTTCACATATAGCTTTCTATTACATTAT